AAATCATCGTCAAAATATCAGGACGTAAAAGTAACATATTCCCGTCTCAAACAACAACTTACATGTCATTATTATTATGTACATAAACATAGCTGTTATTTTTATTTTTGTTTTGATAACTTTTTCCCAGTCTAATTTGCATAATGCCTATAGCCTGTTTCTGCCATGTGAATTTGGACTTAGTTTTATTTTTTAATGTTGAAAGTGCCTACAAATTACCTCCTGTAAAGTACATTTTCTATTGAGCACTGAGATAAAACTAGCAAATCCAGACTAGTACTTTTCCAGTTGTTTTGTTATTTCGTATTTACATCTACGTAATGCTTTGTGTCGATTATTAAATCCAGCAAAACAGGCTTTTTTTCTTTCCCATGAGTACTTTACCAACTTAGGTAAATCAAAATCACACTTCCTTTCTCAATCCGGCCACTACTCGATGTTATATGTATGTTTCAATCATTTGCTGTCTCTGATAACCATTACAAATAAACATACAAAATTCTCACTGCCACGTAACTCATGTTGTACGTGTATAGATTGAATCTCTATGTGTTTATTTGTCATTCGCATGCATTATGTACGTAATTGATATTAATAGCGAAAGACCCCCACTAAGTTTGAATACTGTAAGTACATTTGTAAGTTTACTTACGTATTAGTTGGTCCGAAAATATATGTCAGAAAATATGTCAGAGTCTGTTATTTTAAATTTACATTTGGTCCCTATGCCTATTGATTATTTATACGGGGCATTTGTTGTATAACATCTTCGTACAGGCAACCTGTCCCTTTGTTGTATCTAAGTCACCATGTAATTACGATTGAAATATCGCATTTTGAAACTTTATGTATTAAGATCACAAAATATGGTTGGTATTTTACAGCACGAGAAACACTGTTATATATTTTACACATGGTAAGAATCGGCGTTCAATCTCACCACATAATCATGATTAAAAATACTACACGAAATATTTACAAATTTTCGACCATAATCCATTCACCAAAATAAATAAAAAGTTCCTAGATCTATCTGATGACAAATTAACAGAAGGTGACATCCATAAATTATCTTCCTTATTCAGATTTAGGTTCACAATAACAATGTCACTGGCAATATAAGTGGCAGCAGACATACCTAACAGGCCCTAACACTTTTCAGAGCACTCACGGATGTCAGGAGTTCTGGACACCGGGATTGTTTTTGAAGCTGGCAGGAATTCGCTGTTTTCAGTTTGACATCTTGTCCGAAATTGGCAAGAAGATCGTTAAATGCCTCGAATGTCGCTGGTGTTGCTCTTATATACTAGGTACAGCCATCTTTCTAGTAACAGACCCATCTCAAGTATGCCTTGTGTTTGTCAACAACCAACTGTGGTAAATCTCAATCACATTTCTTTCCACAATCTAGCCACTACTCAATATTGTACGTGCGTTTCAGTCATTTGAAGGCACTAACAACCATTGCAAATAAACTTACTACATTCTCACTGCCACGAAACTCATGTTGTACGTGTATAGAATGAATCTCTATGTGCGTATTTGTCATTCGCATGCATTATGAAGTTCGTGAACAGTTTACAGGTTGTACACATAGCCCGAGAAACACTGTTATATATTTTGTATTACCAATGACATCAACATTTTACTGGCGAAAGCCCATTCAGTTAATAAGTTGACAGGCTGTGTGGAACTACCTTGTTCAGACTGTTGGATATGTCATTGATGAAAATCAGAAAATATGTCGATGTATTTCTTCTTTTTGTGTGTAAAGTGCTTATCATTTATTCAATATGTATTACAAAAGCGAATCGCATGTTATGCAGTGTTGACCATTGAGGAATATACATATGCACGCCATTGATGTACTCATTATTCAGAAGATGGGAGTGAATTTGAACGTAATCTTTACACTTTAGAGAGATGGATTCATATAAACCAAAACAATACAATTTAGGCGCTTCGTTATGTAATAAATTGATGTGAGGAATTGCTGTACAATAAGGTTGATATCATTATTAACTTAAGTCAGATGTTTTGGCCAGTGTATGGAATAACGAATGGAGACTGATGAACAAAATAGGGAAGGTAAATATTTAAATCGCTTTGGGGTTTACGAATGGGTCCGAAAACAAGATACATAATCCTTTTTTTCTTAAGTTGTCGTCATGGTCCTTAGCGCTGATAATGACTTAGCTTACAAAGACATATCTTATCTAACAAACACAATGAGCTTAGTGTATTGAAGCTCATCAAAGCATGGGTCTAATTTATTTTGGGCCGGGCATAAGACCGTCAAATGTGACGCATATCGTGGCCATAGTTTGGAATTTGTGTCCTTTGCAATTTTAAGTTCAACAATAACTTTATTTCTCGTATTATTGATTCTCGGTACGATAATTTTCAAAAATCACTTCGTGAGCATAATTTGTAAAACCTATGTGTTTTTGCATACGGTACCGTGAAAAACATCCGTGTCTGGTTTGTTTTTTAAGAAAAGGTATCATTCAAATGTCAAGGTTCATCGATATTAACCCTATTCAAGACAATAAAACCGTTTTAGTCCACTTTGTCAAAACAAAAGAACATGTAGACATATTTTTTATATGAATACATTCCATCAACGAAATTAATTTTTGTATACTTTGAAAAAACCCATTTGAAGCAGGCTAGTTATAGCTTTGATCTGTAGCTGAATCAGGGTATTCATCATGAGAATCAATATATGACAAGAGTAAGTGGAAGCAGTGTAGCGATATTCGATGAAGTGTCGATGATGACTCTATCTAGGCTATAACATAACACAATACATCGCGTCATGGACAGGGGTTGAATATTTCACTGTTCATTATTTGATGGAAATATTTGACAATGTCGCACAATTAACACCATGAGTCACAAGAGCCTAGGTGGCTTTCACGACACTGATGCACTGATGCTCACCTTGTCTGTTTTGAGTCACATCAATGTGTACAGCACTGCCGTCAAATAGCTGGAGTCTTGCGTTAACCACACAAATAAACTTGCAGAAACATATTTTTTCGAAACTGCACGAAATTTGAATATATATTGTAGAACACATCGGGCCGCGTACTATTGAATTAGATCATCTTAGTGATGGATTAACACTGTGTAAGTGGACTGGTATATATGATAACGCTTATATAAGAAAAACCTTTATTATAATCAGAAACAGTAATACTAAAAACATAAATTATCGTGTTCAATTGAGAGCTTCAAGAATAGTGTTTTTAATATCTATGTTGTCACCTAATTTCAAAATATCACAATTACTCCCACATTTTTTTCACTATTATGCATGAAACTGCTGTGGAAGTATTGTCTGAGTGTCTCTCTGCTTCACACTGATATATTTCTCAAATTTTGTCAAAAACTTACGTTTAGTAGCTTGGTTCTGAGCATTTTGTCACTGGGGTGGTACCGGGAGAGTGATTGTTGACAAACAAGCTGCCAGTGACGTCACATCTCGTAAAATATCATTAACATATAATTTTATGTAGCTTTCAGTATGTTTGATAAGTTGCGAAATATTAACGCTGCTACCGTAATTAATAGCAGTCATGGTATTTCTTTTATCCCCTGTCTTTCGATTAAATGGATATCCCATTGTTCATTTCTGTATTGCGCTATGGCCATTTATATCGTTATGTTTTGCAGTATATTCTTATAATTCAGAGAGCAAAACCTTTTTGTCTGCCAGAACATATCCACTTGGCCTCTGCTCTGTAATATCCATATCCTTCTTGTATTCTATACCATTAATGCATGGTTGTTTTAATCATAATTGTACGGGATAAAGCTTACAAATCAACTTATCAAAAATACATAATCATCACTCTCGTCAATCTTATCAACCTTTTTAACTGTCTCTGCAATTCTCCGTGCGGAGACGACTGCTGGAAGGTTTGGGGTTAAATCCCCGGCCGCGTCATACCAAAAGACGTTAAAAATAATACTTGTTGTTACCCTGCCTGGCGCACGGCATAAAGGGGCTAAAACAAGGACTGGTCGGCTCGGAGTCCGTATACTGTGTTTGAATGGGGTATTCATGTTAACCTGCAGCATGGTATCTCAGTGTGCTAGGAGTATGAAATCGGCATTATTCCGGACTAGTACAAGCAGCCAAACACACACACACACACACACGCACGCACGCACGCACGCGCACATGCACACACACGCACGCACACACACACACACGTCGCTATGTAAGTGCAATACTTTTGAATGTGCCGTTAAACGCGATTTCACCTCAGCCCGTGCGGAGACTTTTATTACTGTATAAAAGAATGTCCATTTTAGCAGTGTAGTTATTAAGCAATTAAGAAAAAACAAACTAGTCCTATTATTGTTAAACGGAAGCTCCCACCTCAGCTGTACTGAAAATGTACACTCTGTTACATGTGGCAATTTACAAAACGCTAAAATATTTAAGTCTTTTTATTATTATTTATATTTTGATAAGGCATTCCAAACATGATTAGACCCGTGAAGATCCGGGGAAGAATAGGTCTTCAGCAACCCATGCTTGCCGTAAAAGGCGACTATGCTTGTCGCGAGGGGACTAACGGGATCGGGTGGTCAGGCTCGCTGACTTGTTGATGCATGTCATCGATCCAAATTGCGTGGTGCGGTAGATTTCCGTGAAGATCCGGGGTAGAATAAGTCTTCAGCAACCCATGCTTGCCGTAAAAGGCGACTTTGCTTGTCGTAAGAGGCGACTAACGGAATCGAGTGGTCAGGCTCGCTGACTTGGTTGATGCATGTCATCGATCCCAATTGCATGGATGGATGCACATGTTGTCAATCACTGGATTGTTTGGTCCAGGCTCGATTAATTACAGACCGCCGTCATATGGCTGGAATATTGCTGAGTGTGGCGTTAAACAACAAACAAACTTATCTTTAACATCGTCATTGAAATGTGTGGTACGATGTCGCATGTTTCGTTGTAATGACATTTCACATGATTGTTTCAGTTGAGTATTTGGAGGTGAATTCAGTATCGATGTGGAATGAACATCTTAACTTGGACGGTTGGGCTCTATTCCATCTTCCAGTTCGGTAAGGTTTGAACAGAACCTACAAAACATCAACACATTTGCCATCCTTATTTCGAAAGTGTAAATATACCAACTAACCTAGATTACCAACTTAATATCAAGTATGTTGGATTTGGGTCGCGTAAATGCAGTACTTTACATTGCACGCCGATGTGATCTTCTAAAAATTGAGTTCTAAAACGTAAACGAATTAGTTGGTATCTGTATTGCTGTATTTACCTTGAGTCTTTATTTCACAAAGGATCACCCGACTCTCTTATTGTTGCTGTAATCTGCTGACATCCGTTTATCCTTTACAGTACCAGTGACCAGTGAAGTTGGAGGCGGGCACAGTGGTAGTAACAAGTGGGGACCTGCATGTGTCAAGAACTGTCCATCTAATTGTCGCCCTTATTACAACATAGTCCACTGTAATGCCACTACGGGAGCGTGTCTGGAAGGTTGTAACGTAGGATATCATGATACCAACTGTAGCAGAGAGTGCAATTCCAACTGTATCTCAATCTTAGTTTTTAAAACATTGAAGTTAAAATCAGTAGAAATATGTAATGTTTCTTTAATTAACAATCTATTTACTATTTGTTGTTGACCAGCGGGGATAACGGGGTTATGTGAGCTTTGCTCACTTCTTTCTTGTTTGTTGGTCATTCGCATGCATTATGTACGTAATTGATATTAATAGCGAAAGACCCCCACTCAGTTTGAACACTGTCAATTCATTTGTAAGTTTACTTATGTATTATTTGGTCCCAAAATATATGTCAGAAAATATGTCAGAGTCTGTTATTTAAATTTACATTTGGTCCCTATGCCTATTAACTATTTGTACGGGGCATTTGTTGTATAACATCTTCGTACAGGCAACCTGTCCCTTTGTTGTATCTAAGTCACCATGTAATTACGATTGAAATATCGCATTTTGAAACTTTATGTATTAAGATCACAAAATATGGTTGGTATTTTACAGCACGAGAAACACTGTTATATATTTTACACATGGTAAGAATTGGCGTTCAATCTCACCACATAATCATGATTAAAAATACTACACGAAATATTTACAAACTTTTGAACATAATCCATTCACCAAAATAAATAAAAAGTTCCTAGATCTATCTGATGACAAATTACCAGAAGGTGACATCCATAAATTATCTTCCTTATTCAGATTTAGGTTCACAATAACAATGACACTGGCAATATAAGTGGCAGCAGACATACCTAACAGGCCCTACAACACTTTTCAGAGCACTCACGGATGTCAGGAATTCTGGACACTGGAGTTGTTTTATAAGCTCGCAGGAATTCGGTGGTTTCAGTTTGACATCTTGTCCGAAATTGGCAAGAAGATCGTTAAATGCCTCGAATGTCGCTGGTGTTGCTCTTATATACTAGGTACAGCCATCTTTCTAGTAACAGACCCATCTCAAGTATGCCTTGTGTTTGTCAACAACCAACTGTGGTAAATCTCAATCACATTTCTTTCCACAATCTAGCCACTACTCAATATTGTACGTGCGTTTCAGTCATTTGGAGTCACTAACAACCACTCCAAATAAACTTACTACATTCTCACTGCCACGGAACTCATGTTGTACATGTATAGAATGAATCTCTTTGTGCGTATTTGTCATTCGCATGCCTTATGAAGTTCGTGAACAGTTTACAGGTTGTACACATAGCCCGAGAAACACTGTTACATATTTTATATTACCAATGACATCAACATTGTACTGGCGAAAGCCCATTCAGTTAATAAGTTGACAGGCTTTGTGGAACTACCTTGTTCAGACTGTTGGATATGCCATTGATGAAAATCAGAAAATATGTCGATGTATTTCTTCTATTTTGTGTGTAAAGTGCTTATCATTTAATCAATATGTATTACAAAAGCGAATCGCATGTTATGCAGTGTTGACCATTCAGGAATATACATATGCACGCCATTGATGAACTCATTATTCAGAAGATGGGAGTGAATTTGAACGTAATCTTTACACTTTAGAGAGATGGATTCATATAAACCAAAACAATACAATTTAGGCGCTTCGTTATGTACTAAATTAATGTGAGGAATTGTTGTAAAATAAGGTTGATATCATTGTTAACTTAAGTCAGATATTTTTTGTGTATGGAATAACGAATGGAGACTGATGAACAAAATAAGAAAGGTAAATATTTAAAACGCTTTGGGGTTTACGAATGGGTCCGAAAACAAGATTCATAATCCTTTTTGCCTTCAGTTGTCATACATGGTCCTTAGCGCTGATAATGTCTTAGCTTACAAAGACATATCTTATCTAACAAACACAATGAGCTTAGTGTATTGAAGGTCATCAAAGAATGGGTCTAATTTAATGTGACGCATATCATGGCTATAGTTTGGAATTTGTGTTCTCGGCAACTTTAAGTTCAACAATAGCTTTATTTCTCGTATTATTGATTCTCCGTATGATAATTTTCAAAAATCACTTCGTAAGCATAATTTGTAAAACCCCTATGTGTTTTGCATACGGCACCGTGAAAAACATCCGTGTCTGGTTTGTTTTTTAAGAAAAGGTATCATTCAAATGTCAAGGTTCATCGATATTAACCCTATTCAAGACTATAAAACCGTTTTAGTCCACTTTGTCAAAACAAAAGAACATGTAGACATATTTTTTATATGAATACATTTCATCAACGAAATTAATTTTTATATACTTTGAAAAAAACCCATTTGAAGCAGGCTAGTTATAGCCTTGATCTGTAGCCGAATCAGGGTATTTATCATAAGTGGAAGCAGTGTAGCGATATTCGATCAAGTGTCGATGATGACTCTATCTAGGCTATAACATAACACAATACATCGCGTCATGGACAGGGGTTGAATATTTCACTGTTCATTATTTGATGGAAATATTTGACATTGTCGCACAATTAACACCATGAGTCACAAGAGCCTAGGTGGCTTTCACGACACTGGTGCACTGATGCTCACCTTGTCTGCTTTGAGTCACATCAATGTGTACAGAACTGCCGTCAAATAGTTGGAATATTGCTGAGTCTTGCGTTAAACAACAAATAAACTTGCATAAATACATTGTTTCGAAACTACACGAAACTTGAATATATATTGTAGAACACATCGGGCTGCGTACTATTAAAATAGATCATCTTAGTGATGGATCAACACTGTGTAAGTGGATTGGTATATATGATAACGTTTATATAAGAAAAACCTTTATTTTAATCAGAAACAGTAATACTAAAAACATAAATTATCGTGTTCAATTGAGAGCTTCAAGAATACTGTTTTTAATATCTATGTTGTCACCTAATTTCAAAATATCACAATTACTCCCACATTTTTTTCACTATTATGCATGAAATTGCTGTGGAAGTATTGTCTGAGTGTCCCTCTGCTTCACACTGATATATTTCTCAAATTTTGTCAAAAACTTACGTTTAGTAGCTTGGTTCTGAGCATTTTGTCACTGGGGTGGTACCGGGAGAGTGATTGTTGACAAACAAGCTGCCAGTGACGTCACATCTCGTAAAATATCATTAACATATAATTTTATGTAGCTTTTTGTATGTTTGATAAGTTGCGAAATATTAACGCTGCTACCGTAATTAATAGCAGTCATGGTATTTCTTTTATCCCCTGTCTTTCGATTAAATGGATATCCCATTGTTCATTTCTGTATTGCGCTATGGCCATGTATATCGTTATGTTTTGCAGTATATTCTTATAATTCAGAAAGCGAAACCTTTTTGTCTGCCAGAACATATCAACTTGGCCTGTGCTCTGTAATATCCATATCCTTCTTGTATTCTATACCATTAATGCATGGGTGTTTTAATCATAATTGTACGGGATAAAGCTTACAAATCAACTTATCAAAAATATATAATCATCACTCTCGTCAATCTTATCAACCTTTCTAACTGTCTCTGCAATTCTCCGTGCGGGGACGACCGCTGGAAGGTTTGGGGTTAAATCCCCGGCCGCGTCATACCAAAAGACGTTAAAAATAATACTTGTTGTTACCCTTACCCTTTAGGGGCTAAAACAAGGACTGGTCGGCTCGGAGTCCGTATACTGTGTTTGAGTGGGGTATTCATGTTAACCTGCGCCATGGTATCTCAGTGTGCTAGCAGTATGAAATCGGCACTAGTCCGGACTAGTACAAGCAGCCAAACACACACACGCACGCAACACACGCACGCACGCACGCACGCGCCCATGCACACACACGCACACACACACACTTCGCTATGTAAGTGCAACAATCTTGAACGCGCCGTAAAACTCGATTTCACTTCACCCCGTGCAGAGACTTATATTACTGTATAACATAATGTCCATTTTAGCAGTGCAGTTAACAGTGCAATTAAGAAAAAGCAACCTAGTCCTATTATTGTTAAATGGAAGCTCCCATCTCAGCTGTACTGAAAATGTACACTCTGTTACATGTAGCAATTTACAAAACGCTAAAATATATTTAAGTCATTTTATTATTATTTATATTTTGATTAAAAATTCCAAACATATATATGCTCTATTTCATCACCCAGTGACTAAAAATGATAGGATTAAAATCAATGTTATATATATATATATATATATATGTTTTGGCTTCTCATCCTAACATGATTAGACCCGTGAAGATCCGGAGAAGAGAAGGTCTTCAGCAACCGTTGCTTGCCGTAAAAGGCGACTATGCTTGTCGTGAGGGGACTAACGGGATTGAGTGATCAGGCTCGCTGACTTGGTTGATGCATGTCATCGATCCCAACTGCGTGGTGCGGTAGATTTCCGTGAAGATCCGGGGTAGAATAGGTCTTCAGCAACCCATGCTTGCCGTAAAAGGCGACTTTGCTTGTCGTAAGAGGCGGCTAACGGGATCGACTGATCAGGCACACTGACTTGGTTGATGCATGTCATCGATCCCGATTGCGTGGATGGATGCGCATGTTGTCAATCACTGGATTGTTTGGTCTAGGCTCGATTAATAACAGACCGCCGTCATATGGCTGGAATAGTGCTGAGTGTGGCGTTAAACAACAAACAAACTTATTTTTAACATCGTCGTTGAAATGTGTGGTGCGATGTCGCATGTTTCGTTGTAATGACATTTCACATGTTTCAGTTGAGTATTTGGAGATGAATTCAGTATCGATGTGGAATGAACATCTTAACTTGGACGGTTGGGCTCTATTCCATCTTCCAGTTCGGTAAGGTTTGAACAGAACCTACAAAACATCATCACATTTGCCATCCTTATTTCGAAAGTGTAAATATACCAACTAGATTACCAACTTAATATCAAGTATGTTGGATCTGGGTCGCGTAAATGCAGTACTTTATATTGCACGCCGATGTGATCTTCTAAAAATTGAGTTCTAAAACGTAAACGAATTAGTTGGTATCTGTATTGCTGTATTTACCTTGAGTCTTTATTTCACTAAGGATCACCCAACTCTCTTATTGTTGCTGTAATCTGCTGACATCCGTTTCTCCTTCACAGTACCAGTGACCAGTGAAGTTGGAGGTGGACACTGTGGTAGTAACAAGTGGGGACCTGCATGTGTCAAGAGCTGTCCATCTAACTGTCGCCCTTTTCACGATATCGTTCACTGTGATTTCACTACAGGAGAGTGTCTGGAAGGTTGTGACGTGGGCTATCATGATACCTTCTGTCGCACACAATGCAACTCTAACTGCATCAACAACACCTGTAACCAAGTAGATGGCGAGTGTTCCATTGGGTGCAAGAATGGGACATCGTGTATAGTTACAACGCCACCAATTGCAACAAACAAGTCTAATACTGATATCACGCAGACTCATAGCGGTGAGAGTTGCAATCAGATTTCCAAGTAGATACAATTTCGAACCTTCCCAGCAACATAATGCAGTTGGGTGTATTTTGTGAATGACGACCAGGGTTATCCTGTGGATAAATGGTTCCGTTTGTTCTGAGTTTCAGATTTCACTAGCTGCCTCGGTGTTTCCTTAACCATCATAGTGACTGTGATTTTAAATGCACTGTCAGCATTGTTTGTATATGCCATATGGTAAGTAAACGCATTCAAACCAGGATATAGGCAATTATTTTAAACTTTGCAAACGTAAGCGAAAACTGTTTGTCACTGGCATACATTTGTCAGTATATGTAAAGGGTGCAATGGTCTAATTAAAACAATATGATTAAGTCTTGGTGCAATGTAATCTGGTCTGTGCCAGTTAATGGTCTAACAATTCTTTATAGTAAACAGTGTTTTATTGTTTATACTTCGTCACAAAATACATTTAAGTGGAATGCCATATGTTATATGGATATCAAATATTAAATAATATTCACAGGCGCAGACGCAGACGCAGACACCAAATACGGAGAAACAAGAGGACTGATGAAGGTCGTGCAGAGGAAACGGTATGTAACATCACAACTGAGTGTTTTATCCTGTACATGGATCTTTCACTTAATAGATTTTGCCAGATATTGACGGCGGTACGATCCTTAATAGCCATACGGCTTATCTGGTTTTATTTGATTGAATGATATTAATTCACTTAATGAAAGGTATATACAGAAAGGTTAGTTACAAACAATAAATTGTGTTGCACAATTCTTAATTCAGGCTGGCGACTTGAGCTAGTGTTCGTAAAACTAAATTTTTGAACAGACGTCAGTCACAAAGGAAACAACTTTTTTAAGTTCCAGAAATCTAAATGTTTGTGGACAGTTACTCAAGACGCTGTAACGTTTATTTTTGCTTCTTACAGGTTGAGATGAACCGACTGGATACTGAATACAGCAATTGATTCTTTCAGCACAAATATTGTTGTGAGTGTCATTATTCATAAAATTCAAAAATGACACACGTTATAAACATATAATTTTATATATACACATGCACAAAAGTTAAGCGCCACCATATTCATAGTCTCTTGATTTCACGTGTGGGAATCAGAAAAACGAAATATGATGATGTGTCCAGATACCACAAGGAAAGCGTGCTTTACGTGTTGCTGCAGTTCCCCTACCCTATAAATAGTGAAATTCAAGTTTCAGACATTTGGTTGCATTTTGCCCCTGTGTGAGATTCCCCTTCCAAAAGAGGTTGAAAATCAGCCATGGTGAGGAGAAAGTTACCGAACGCTAAAGATGGCAAGTGATAGGCATGAAAAATGAAGCACTGTGCAACTGTACGCTGCAACGTCTACCCTACTCACTATAGACACCGCAATATTTCACAAAACACCAGTGACACATACACACTCTAGGCATGGCTGCATGCATATCGAACTGTATTGTTGACATATTTTTCTTTTTGGGTGTCGCCTGTGATTTATTGCATATCTCGCGAACAAATACGAAATATTGTATACATAGTTGAATAATAAAGGTTCGGAGATTCACTAAAAGTATTATTCCCAAAGATCATAACGACATTCATCGCCGCGTCTACTTAGGACCTTGAACATCGTCTTGTAAATTGTGAGTAGCGCCCCTCGGACAAAGTGGACAGTCGTTAGAAATTGCATACTTGACTCAACCGATGCAATCTCGTCGTGAATCCTTTGTGCTCCGAAATTAAACGGATGGTAGATGATGAAATGTATTTATAACGTGCTGAATTCCAACCATCAAACGTATGCCCAAAGCGCTACAAATGATGTAACGTAACGGTAATTACAATAAAATGCAAGCAGATAAATCATCTGTTGAGTCGAATGTAACCAAATAACCAATTACATGGCATGACCCGTGAAGATTCCGGGGTGGAATAGGTCTGCAGCAACCCATGCTTTCCGTAAAAGGTGACTATGCTTGTCGTAAAAGGCGACTAACGGGATCGGGTGGTCAGGCTCGCTGACTTGGTTGATGCATGTCATCGATCCCAATTGCGTGGTTCGATGCTCATGACATTAATCACTGGATTGTCTGGTCCAGACTCGATTATTTACAAACCGCCGTCATATAGCATGAATATTGCTGAGTGCGGCGTTAAACGACAAACCAACCAAATCCCCTCACCTAAGCTGAATGAGTTTGAAGCTAGATTTTTACCACGGTGGCAGTCGTTGACGTAAACGTCTGTCTAGCACATCCGACGGATGAATTGAAACCCCGTATGTGTATGTTCGGAGCACTAAGGTGGGATAAGTGTGTGCGGGTCTGTATACTTGTCGGGAGTAATGCTGGTTTCATCTTGCGAGCCCACTGAGATATCGTGCCGCAGTTTAACCATCTTCCCGAGGCAAGTGAGTTAACTGCCTATAATAGTCCAGTTTCCACCCTTGCCGAACTAGGCTGGTATTATGGAGTTACATTTTGGCTGGGCTAACGAGTCATAGTCCAATCAAAATCGCGCACCGAAATAGAAATCCGGTTCGTAAAATGTCATGCCGATTTTGGTCGACTGCAGGATTTGCAAAGCATGTGCACCGCTAACTCGTTGTCAACAGATATATTCTATATCTTTTCATGTTTTTAATCAAGGTGCTCACGTGATTTGATGCACTTCGCGATGTAAGACTCGTTTTATCACAATATAGATCTTGATTATCGATCAGATCGTCTTGACTGGGCGCCATCGTTTTGTTTGAAGCAAATGCAAGTGATACGAGAGGTTGAATCTGATTGGTCAATAGGAGAGGCATAGAAAGGACATAACTCGTAATAGCCACTGGTGGCGCTACGATCGATCCCAGGAATTCCAGCCTAGTTCGGCAAGGGTGGAAACTAGACTTTTAAAGTCAGTTAACACTCTTGCCTTGGGAAGATGCAGTTTAACATGGGTACCCCACGCGGTATACTTACTCCAAACCAACCAATCCTTGTTTTACATGGTACAAACAAGTACCATCTTGTACCTCTTTTGATATGAAGGGCAAAAGATACATCCACTAGACCACGGAGGTGATCAGTATAGAGTGTGCTGTGGAGGTACGAGCTTTTACATGCTGACAAACGAACCCTGGTGTTTGCAGAGTCGGGACAAAGTAATGACCCAACCTGTTACGTTGCCCTAGAAATGAGCAAGGGCTGTTCTTCGCCCCTAAAAGAGAGCTTTTCTTCATCATGATACTTCCATCGAATTCCGACATCAGACATAACGCTCATTTCGTCGTCGACACATACGGATCCACCCATATCACGTTTGAAAAGGAAACGTGATTCACCACTGAACCAATTACGTTACGCCAACGATGCTGAGCCAATGATAATATAACCGACTCCACTGCAGTGATGTAAAATGAAGCCAACGTAGGGCCTTCATGCTCGGATTCCAGCAGCTCGTAAGCGGTTAAAGACCTGGGAGGTAAACTATGAATTTATTTCGCACTGTACGTTGCAGTGAGTGACCTGTTACGAAGATGGAGGACCAGTGTTCCACAAAGTTATGGTAGCGATAAGGTGTTCGTAACTGTCTTGCTTTAACATAGACTTATGACTGTCGTTGCGCTACGATCGATCGCTTTGTTACCCCTGGATATCGCGATCCTGAGCTGCTGACGTGATGTGGATTTTCCGCCATCTAGGACGATCTCTAACTCTGCCGTATGGCTAGTATCATGCCAAAACTCGTGGAATTGTGCTCTTGGCAGGGTTCAAATACCTTGACACTGATACTTGTGAATCATCGCCTTCAAGTCTGCTAATAGCGTCAACTTTTGAATTAATAAGTCTTCAATAAGAGTCAAAATACAACTGAATTTGACATTGTTTCATAAACACATGCTTATATATAGTCTGAATCGAACGTGATAGCTGGAATGGTTATGGAAGCGGTTTTCTCGCTTTTATTATTCAAGTGAATAACTTGGTTTAGTAACACGTGACAAATTCCACCTGTTGCATCTGAAAACTGCATTACAGGTTCCCAAGAAAAGAAATAATGGTTTTGTCAAAGCCCATCTCTATTAACTGTCTAATATAATGGAACAGTTGTGGCACTTTATCAGTCAACAAAGATCATGCAGACCGTATTTACATGTAGCAGTGCAACATGGAAAACCTTCCACATACGGAGTTAAAACTTTGAATTTGTTTTAAAATGTATATATTCTTTCCCATTATCTATATCTGATGATAGTGTTTCTTTTCAGCCTTTCTGCAAGTATGGATGAATGCCGATTATTTCGTTACGTCGTATTGTGTAAGTATTGGTAACAATATGTGCATAGTAATTAATTGTAGGTTTCGTATGTGACACTACGATAGGGACGCGGTCTACACAATTTCTGGATATGTTGTTAACATATTTATGTGACAAATTGTGTGAAGTTGGATTGGTAAACAAGTAAAGATTTATGTTGATGATGGTCTAGAACTGGAGATAAACGTTGATGCACTCGTTATGATCAATAAATATGCGTAGTTATGTCCGGCACTGTAACTGTACCTCAGAAACGAAGATGTTGAAATTATGTCTCCGAAACTTAAAATCAGGGTTGTGTATGGTGAAAATCATTACAAATTGATGAAGTCACACGTTGATCTGCAGTAATCGAACTTGATAAAAACCTGGGCAGTGACAGACAGTAAAGGGTTCAAACAATAAAGACAATTGTCCTAAAGCTATTCATCACATTATCATATTTAGTATTTAAATCGAGATATGTTTACAATGTCAAAAATCAAAAGACAAAATAGCCACGTTCCTTCACGCACCTAATCCCAGAATAATCGTAAATGGAAAATAATAGTACATGAAGAGTGTGTAAGATATACCGAACAACAAAAGTTCCTGTGACTTTGAATAAGATTTAATGCAAAGTTATGTTTTTTACCAAATCTGAAACAATTTCGGTTTGCAACAGATAAAAAACTCATGTAAGTGTTCAAATGGTTTAATTTGCCATACTGACTTCGGAAAATGCGTGATTTCATAAAAAACCATGAACATGCCAAAATGTCAACTTACAAATCAATAGCGTTTGTGTCATCCTCTGGTTGCGATGCAAGAAACAGATCTTTGTCTCATGGAAATCGACCAGGCTTTGCACAAAGTCCTGTGGATATTTGTCCATATTTGCTGGAGCATGTTTCGAAGTTCCTGGAGTGTCTGTGGAGCACGTGGTTGACGTCTAAGGCGCCGATCCATCTCATCCCACATGTGCTCGATTGGTGAGAGATCAGAGGAGCGAGCCGGCCAGGGGATGACATTCACGTTGTTTTGTTGAAGAGAATCCTGAACAAGTCAAGCAATATGAGGCCGCGCGTTGTCATGTTGAAAGGTAATGCCTGGGCCATAACGACGCAAAAACGGTAGAACAACAGGGCCGATGATTTGACATTTCCCTCTACCACTATCAAACTGGTCCTCTGCCTTGCTGTAATCCCACCCCATACCATAACGCTGCCGTACCCGAACCGATCTTTTTCCATGCCACAATGATTGACGTAACGTTCACCTCGATGTCGGTACACTCGAATCCGTCAATCGCTGTGGCTGAGGAGAAAACGAGACTCATCAGTGAATGGAACTTGTCCCAACTGCATGGCCGCACAGAGTAGACGCTGTCTCCTCCACTGTAGACGTGCTTGGCGGTGGTTTCCTGTCAAAATTGGACGTCTGGCGGGTCTTCTGGCGACAATCCCTGCTTATCTGAGGCGGCGGCGTACGGTTTGTGAAAATATTCGTCGAAGGCCAGGGATGCTTCTTGCAGTCACTGATGCTGGCTGGAATCGATTTTGTAGGTGTGTTGTTCGAATGTAGTTGCCTTGTTGATTATTGGTTACGCGTGGCCTTCCACTCTGAGGATGGTCTCTGACTGACTTCGTCTGTTGCCAACATTGCCATAAACACCAAATGGTGTTTCTGTGGACGTTAAATTGTCTTGCAACATCACGTTGACTCTATCCTGCTTCAAGCAAACTAATGGCTCGCAGACGCTCATTTTCGGACAGGCGTGGCATTTCGTAATGTTGAATAGTTGCATAATTTTGTTGTTTTTTGGAGTGGTTGTTGTCAGTACAATGCTAAACAATGCCTATGGAATCCCGTTAACGCACATGTTTTTATACCCATTCTTGGGTAGTGAAATGCATGAGGCTTACATAAAAGTCAACTTTTGCATGGAATGCATGCATTTCTGTTGCAGTTGCGTTTTTGTGATTTGATTCCATACCTGACTACAATATTGAAAACCAAACTCTACTTATTTGAAAAATACACTAAAATATTGGTGTCACAGGAACCTTTGTTGTTGAGTATATTTTTTTGGAAACATGTATGACCACAAATACTTTGAGTTTATTTAAGATATGTCTTGTTCATTGTACATATATAATCAAAGTGTATCGCCTATGCACCTTTGTTACAAACAAAATGCATTAAAAGAAGCTTGGGGTCAGGAAACTATAAACTATTAATACTCAGCTAATTAAAATCCTTATCTCAAAATAGTATATACCCGTCAAAACAGTCATCAGAGCGTATCTGTTTATGAACGCACGTTCTATAATAATGTGCATTGATATAATCAACACGTAGCGTTGACTCGTATGTTTATACATTGTTTCACGATAATGTTTTTGCTTTCAGTGACAATGGTTGTTGGTATACAGGCTCAACAATGCCCAGCTGGTTTCTATGGTAGCAGGTGCCAGCATCCGTGTCCAAGGAATTGCAATAGCCAGCAATGCAACATTGACAAATTTGGTCGAACTGTTTGTACCTACGGATGTGTGGATGGATACAGAGGCACCTCGTGCAGAATCCCCTGTCCAGTGAATTGTCAAGTGTGTGAACGTGTCAACGGCAGCTGTATTAACTGTAAGGATCCCTTTCATGGTACAAACTGTACTCTCACATGTGAAGAGTTGTGCCAGGGATTCCGGTGTGACACAGACCAGACTTGCTCTAAAACGACGTGTCTTGACGGGCAGTATGGACAGAACTGCAGTAACAAGTGTTATCCCCAGTACCTGACATGTACCCGATCTACTGGAGGCTGCACTGCCTGCAGAGATGGTTACTATGGACAGTTCTGTGAGCTGGATTGTCCTCGGTGCGGCTTTACAGACGGTAGTGTGGATCAGACATGTAAAGATGGATGCAACACGATTTCATGTTCAGACATCACAGGCGGCGACTGTGGAAGGAGTAAGTAATATTGCACATTGCAAATATTGCACAGGCGCATCAAGCGGTGTATGTACCTCTCTTGCACTTGAAGTGAAAATGCATAATGCCAACGTAGAGTATTTTAATACAATTGTCAAGGGTATGCTGTGTAATATCCTCTTTAAATAAGCAACACATTGACATATGTTATTAACCTGTGATTCATATCAAATTAATCAAGAGTATAACTCACGTGGTCTTGAAATTCAGTTCGTTGCCAACTAGGTTTATAGTAAAGAATATGTAAAAAAAAATGTTGAAAAATATGTACTTTAATAATTCTAAAAACATAAGAATATATGTGTCCTTTTAATTACACTATAATTTACACTGGTATCGCTAAATGCAGACATGGTGTATATTTTAAGAATACAGGAAAACAACAATTAATTAAAAAAATCTGTTGAACAACATTATTATGTTTTCCCTTCGCATTTTCGGAGGGATCGTAACTAACGTATTTGCATCAGCTCATCATTCCAAGTCAAAGTTACATTTATGGAATACATTGTAAATATACTTATAGTTGATTCGTATAACATTCCATACATAATTAGTGTATCATCTGTTACAATAGCGCTGTTAAGCATAGGTCATAATAACATAAGACATACTTTATAACATTTCCAGTCATAACTCACTTCTTGACACAGACCAATCCAAGTCACATTGACATACAAGAGTCAAATAACAACATACATGACTTAAAATGAGTCATCGTATCGCATTTATTTGTTATTTGTTGACACCCATACGAGTACGCATCGTTTATGTAGTTTCAAACTTTACAATCAACTGAAACCCAATGTTTTGTTAGGACCAAACAATAGAATTCCTGATAATTAATGATACTGGTATTTGTTAATGCTTTATTTGACCCCTCAGGAAAGTATTGAACAATATTTATCATTGTTTATAATTCAAGGAATACAACCTGTATTATATCAGTGTCATTAACCATCCTACTATTATCGCATTTTAGGAATCTTTTGATTTTCAAAAGACGTTCTCTCTCAATAATATATTGTGTAAGTAACCATATCTTGCTTCCAATGCCTCATGCGCATGCGTAAGGCGGAAAAACTTCGCTTCTTTCCAACCACAGTCTGTCTTGATGCAAAATATTGGGAAGGCGAGTGGGATTACTCCTGATCAAATCAAAGTTACACAAACTTCATGATTTCCATCCAAAGTGGGACTCTAACCATACACTCATTATTTTGTGTCTAACTACTTACTCCAAACCATCATTCAAGAAAGTTTTGACAAATAATAGGTGCATCTAATTTCAAAAGGCCCTCAGATGGTCCGATTACAAAATGAGTGCCAAGGATATATACAAAATATGTGGTTTACTTACATAGGGCTGAAGTTCGGTTTGTGTCGAATTCAAAACTTGTTACATTATCAAAATATCTTCTGATCAACTTATAACCTGTCTCACACAATAAAGTACAACAGTTAACTAACCTTCCAAAGCTGTAGCTATGGTAATATGCCATCCCACACCATAAACAACCAGCCCTATAATGATCATGCTCCAGGATCGGAGGTCGTACATACTTCTCGCCTGACGCATTCGGGCAACAAGTGATATTGACGTCCACCAACCCCAATATTTTGCCATGCATCTTTTCATCGAGATACTGTCTTGGAGGCAATTTCACACATTTCTTTAGCTCTGTTACATATGTGAATAAGAGGTCTCGGACATGCGCAGGTTCTGTTCTTGCATGTTGCAGGAGATCGCGTTACCTGCTACGCACCGATTTTACCCATGCCCATCTCAGGTACGCCCATTGTAAATCCTTACATTCCGTATGTTTTGTAGGTTATATATCGTCGCCTTAGAACGATAATGCCCTGTAAATAACATTTTATAATATGGTGCACTGTATAATATGAACTTAAAATATATCTATGTTTTTCACAGAAAACAAACATTTAGTATGTTTTAAAGCAAAAGCTATTATATATCCATCTTCTCATTTACAGATAAATGTTATTTTAATGTGAGAATACCAAATAATTTCGGACATTTATTTGAAGATCCATACTGTTCTATCATCATTTCTATTGTTTTATATTTTCCATTTATTACCGATCACTATTGTCAGATGATATATTTTGTCATATCGGTATAGATTCTCAAATTGAATTATTCCCTATTACTTTGGTCCAAAATAGAACAGACGAAACAAGATGATTTGACAAAATATAATCAATACTATATTCATTTCAAGAAAGCCAACATTTCACGGGGAATGTAACAATATTTCCAAAGGTTGATTGAAAGAAACATATTTAGTCTGTTATTCTGAGTCATTATTCACAATCTCTCTGAAGTTTAAAAGGAACACTTTTATGTTTAACCGATGCACGCTTGAATGTTTTTCTAACAAATTCGAGGCATCACTATATATTTTGCATAAGCAGTCATCACATCATTGGATTCTTTAATACAAACTTGAATACAGGATGCACTTTAAAACAAGTAAACGTGACTCTGGGTGTGCTTGCGTGCACACACAGAGAGAAGAATCGCTCGAATGGACACACACGGATTGAGAAATATTATTATGATTGTTTTACAAGAAGATGGTAGTCCTATTACAGTTTGATTTACAAGTGTACATTTACCGCCAATTTCTTCAAGCAAAGCGTTATGAATGAAATCATACAATTTATTTATCAAATATGCTGAAACAGAACCGTACAAGATTAAAACTGAACAAGGTTATATTTAATATGTATATGCTCCCTCACAGAGATTCACTAATACCAAAAGGGCAACATGAGAGTTGTGTACTGGAGCATTGTCTTGCAGCAGACGGACACCCTTGGTCAGCATGCCACGCCTCTTAAGCTTGATAGCATCCCGCAATTTCCGCAGCAGTGAAGCATAATAAGCTCCTGTAATTGTGGTACACTTTGCCAAGAAATCGATCATCACTACTCCGTGCTGGTCCCAAAACACCGTGAGCGTGACCTTGCCTGCAGAGGGTTGGACACGTGCCTTCTTTGGGGGTGGTGACTCCACATGCTTCCATTGCATCGACTTAACTTTAGTCTCGGGTTCATAGTGATGGACCCATGTTTCATCCTGTGTGATAAGTCTGTCAAAAAAGTTTGCCTGTTTTTTTTGGCACATGTCCAAAAGATCCTTTGAGCAATTGACTCGTTCCTGCTTTTGGAAAGGTGTTAGCAACCTGGGAATCCATCTTATGCATGTTCGAATTGTCATTGATGATTTGTTCCACAGACCCTACACTGATCTTGACATCTTGTGCTAACTGGCGAACAGTTATACGTCGGTCTGCCAAAATGGCGGTCTCCACTTGATGGATAGTGTCCTCATCAATGGCTGAATGGGGGCGACCAGGAATGGCAGCTGTTTCCATAGATGTCCGACCACACTCGAACTGGCGATGCCAGTGTTTAACAACGCCATATGATGGGGCATCTTCCCCATAAGTTGCTTTCATTTCATCGAAAGTTTCTTTTGGTGTTCGACCTTTCAAATAGAAAAACCTAATCACTGCTCGGTATTCTACTGGCTCAATTGTCACACCCTACTCGATCATAACACCTGTAAAAGTGGTAAGATTAATAGTTCGGTGCTGCAAATTCAGACATAACCCTTAGATACATGTATCATTACACATGTGAAATTTCAACCAAATATTATAACCCTAAGTGGTTTAGGGGAAATGTTTAATGAACACCCCTCGAAAAACATTAGATATGCTCGAAATAACAATAACGAAAAGGAAACGTATATTTTGAGAAAGTTTGAGGACAGTTGCTTCTGCAAGATCCTGCATCAGACAGATACAGTCAGGTCTCCAGCCCATAATACATGTTGACATAATGTAGATCATACATGCTTATATACTATGGCGTTATGTTAAGACAAATAGTTTTAGAATACGTTAGAACAGTGATGAGTTATGTATTTCATAACTTTAGATAGGAAAAGTCCAATGTGTTTTAAAGTTCTTGTGGAGTTTGTTGACATAAGGTTTGAAAACTGTTGAAATGTGGTAAAGTTGATTTCACTTTCAGCAAATCATTCTCTTCTTGCAGCTCGGTATCTGTCACAGATTGACAATACATGATACTCATCCTCTATTAGAGTTAAGCCTTTAGAGTGGCAATACACGTACACACGTTCTTCATATGGGATTTTAGAATGTCTTCCAGTTTCAAATGCAAGTTTAAAGTTGTTACACCTGAACATACATTTTAAGCTTTTATAACAAACAGAGATTTCACATGATACTAAGCATTTTGCTACATTAAGGAGAGATTTGTACTGTGAGTAATATTTGCATTTAGATGAGAGCTCTATGGAGAGATGCCAGTTTTGAGAAAGACAGATCCTGCATCGGCTTCTGAGAACTCGATATTTCCCTGACATCAATATATAGAAACCCATGATTAAGTAACTGTTATCCCAAATATAACATTCTTTCAATCCAGGACGTTTGCAGAGTCAATGTTCAGCTTCTTTTTTTCGCAAAGGCAAATTACAAGCCGGCAACACGTTAATTAATGACACGATAATAAGATAATAGTTCATTGTTTGGTCCACTTTAATGAAAGTAAATACTGATTGTCTTAATGCCCAGTAGCATTGGTTCTAAATATTAACAAGGTGCCAAGATTCGTAAATTTCGCAACCTCAAGCAATGACGACTAACAATATGAAAAAAAACCCTGCAGAAACCCCCTTTAATATCACCTTTAAATTCCAAAAATTCAGCGAGGATATACTCATTCGACAACACTTTTTAATCAATCAGATCAGGGAACATACCTACTTTTATGTTACAATGTACTTTGGATCTACTGGTGATATTGACGTGAGCATGGCTACAATGTCGTCGTGTGTATCCTACTATTGTTTGGAAATGAATTTAAAGACACACTCTTTCAATGTTATTTACAATCTTGTACAGAGACTACGTTTCTTTGAG